GCCCCAAGGAAGGGGGGAGATTCGCAAAAACCTACCAAGGGGAAGCAAACGGTGGTGGCACCGAAGAGGACGGTGGAGGTGCCAAGGAAGCCCACCACCGAGGGAGAAGTGATGAAGAAGCCCACCACCCGGGAAGAGGCGCTGAAGAGGCCCACGAAGGGGCCCAAGGTGGGAAATAAGAGGCCTGCCACTAACACATCGAGGGAGGCGCCCCGCGGAAGCTTGCCAACACAGATAGGCAGGCCGAGGAGGCAGTGCGGAGGTTTCTGCATAGGGAGCACCCATTCGGGCCTTCGTCAGCTCCTCCATCAATACAAGGCGGCTCCAAGAGGACCGAAGGGGATGGTAAGACTTTCCACCCCTAATGGAAGCTCCAAGAGAGGGACTCCATCCACGACGAGGGGGTCAACCAGGAGCTGGTCAGCGGATCCATCCTGCCGAGGTAAGATGTTCTTCAATATTTCACCGTGTATATGTTTCTTTTTATTTTTTGTTTTCACTGATCAGTTTTGTGGCAGGCCTGTCTTCACTTCACCGGTTTGGGGGACCGAACAAGGTTGGTCATGCGTCATGCCAACAAGGCCGAGAAAGAGAAGAGGGCCACAGAGGAGAAGCTCCAAAAGGTAACCGCCGCCGCCGTCGAGGAGAAGCACTAGAAATTCCACAAGGTGCTTCTGGACGAACAATCGCTTTGGGACCACCTCGAAGTTCTGTTGCAGGAGGTGCAGCAAGGGCTCTCCAAAGAGCAAGTGGACGGGTGTGGCTGGAGAGCATCGCCACAGAGGCGGAGAGACGAGCTGCCGAGGCCGAAAAGAGAGCTACCGAGGTGGAGGCAAAGGCTGCCGAAGCCCTAGTTTCGGCAAAGGAGTCGAAGAAGGTAGTGGCCGAGGTAGCGGAGGTGTTCAAGAAGTCTTCCAACTACCTGGATGCGTTGAAGGAGTTTGCTTCTGTTAAACAATTTTTGTATGCCCTTAGCTTCAATCAGAATGATATACATTATGAGTTTATTGTAAATGAATAAAGTACATATTTGATTCATGTTCATGTGGTGTGTTTTTGTGTAATACCCTTAAACTGGACACTTAATGAGACTCGTGTTAGTTTAAAATGTTCACAGCCAGTGGGTCGGTCTAGGGAGACCTATCCTGATAAGGCTGACACTGATGTGCCACCAAGTCGGTTGGGGTKRMCYRTCTCARCYKYYARGGTGAGACCCAAGGCACATGCAGTGTAGGATTAATTGAATCTTTGAACTGGACCAGATTTCCAGTATTGCCCTGGACCTTAGAGATTAATGGGAAAAACTGG